CAATCTTCTGTCGTTCGTTCCTCACTCCCAGAAAAATACCCTTGGGCACGAAGTCTGTTAGACCTTGTTCTCGATTCGAAATTCAAAATGGCGGCCGGTAAGTTAGTCAACCAATCAGAATGTTCGAGTGAATCACTCGACCTATCAGAAATTTAACGGCTGCCATTTTGAATTTCGAATCGAGAACAAGGTCTAACAGACTTCGTGCCCAGGGTTATTTTTTGTGGGAGTGAGGAATGAACGACAGAAGATTACTCCTGGGTTCCCGAGGATGGGAACAGTAATGATTTAATTGCAATGAAAGTACAAGGTGAAGAACTAATGAAAMCCAAAGAACTAGCATTAAATATGTGAAGTCATGTGYATGAAACTCACTGTAACAAAAGGTCTCATTTTGAATTTGACCCTCACGCCCCCGGCTTAAATCCCAGGTTAAACACGCAAATTTGACCATTTTTAGCACAATTTTCTCAAAAATATCTTTTAAAATAGAAAATAAGAAAAAACCTAGAAACGGMATATGAAACAATATTATATATTGGCCATGTTTTTAGATGTTTTAGTCTGTTTGACTAACTTTTAGTACGGTCAAATTGTATATATGTTTTGGTTTTTAGTTGGTACAAGACGATGTACGGCAGATTTGACATTCCAACGCGTCGTCACAAACAAAAAACGTCAATAAAACTCTATAGAAAGAACCAACCAAAAATTTAGATACAGAAATAGCACCACAAGAGATAAGCTACAGTTTGATGTAAAACTAGACGCATAGCTGCGTGAACTCGGGGTTCTGCTTGAATATATCAAAACGATGAAGTGACAACAATGAGTGTTGTAGTCGAAAAATTGAGAAGAATTGGACTATATTGAACCTTAATAAAGTTAATAGTCATACTATCAAAAGGCGTAAAGCAAAAAATACTTCCTGGAATAAAAAATAATAAAAAAAACAGTGTACTCAGCATAAATATCATGAAAAAATTGATCATCAGCAAGCCGGTCTTTGATAGTCACATGACAGGCTGTAAACACAGAGTCTTTTATCTTCTCCGCTCTTCCATTCGTCGGCTTTTCCTCAGAAGAATCTGTTCGCATTCCTTAGACGAGACCTTAGTAGTTTCAGAGCCTGCATAAGTTCGTATACAGTTCGCTTGTGCTAAGATAGGTAGCTTGTTTGATAGACAANAAGTAAGACCATATTCAAACGCTTATATTTTTGCTAAAAAATCGCAGTTTGACATCAAAATTTGCATAACTGTTGGGAATTATATGCTGGCCATGAACATGAAAAATTCATTTAGATCTTAAAACACAGCCTTTTGTAGGTATTTCTTGACCTGTATAAAACGCATTGAGCCGTGATAATCCCATACATTCTTACCAATTTTCGTTTGCTCGTATTTCTGTTAAAAAGCATTATTTTGRCTCAAAATTTTGCAATTATACTTTAAATTAGATGTTCTATCGAGGAAAATAATAATATTTCGCTAATTTGGCCTCTAAATAGCATTGTTAGCATTCTAAATAGCATTTTTAGAATATCACGTGATTATGAGCTTGGGTTACCTGTGGACAATTTGTGACTGATAAGCGACGACAATGAAGAAAAACAAGAAGCCCGAAATTTAAAGTCGCGGTTCCACAGGAACCCCGAGTAACAGGCACATATTGCGTTGTAGATTTAAGGCGGMARAAGAACTCTCGCCGCCCTTGTTGTCTTTATCATCGCGATCGACGTTTGGTGCAACTTTTTACACGATTTTAAGGCACTTGTTTGACTTATCTATTTCAGTCACTTTAATTGGTTAAAAGTTATTATTTATTTTCGTTACTTTGATGAAGGTTCAGCAGATATTTCTTCAATATAACGCACTGGAATTTTAGATTCTCGCTTCTTCTTGTCTTTACTAATGTCTAACTAGACCTCTGAAGCTTTTACGTTATGTACCGTATTGTACGCAATGCATTGTAGCCTACATATTTTTGTGACAGAACATTGCGGATTTCCTTTGCTTTCTTTAAAAACTGATCCCACAATGCATTGGAATTCAGCTGGTGACGTTAAAGGTCCATTGATTGACAATTACTATTGAATCCGTTATTTAAGTATAAGTTGACACTAGAGTCGGTTCACACAGTCGCTGGTTTAATACATATCGAAAAGCACATGTAGTGAAATTACATGCATGATTGCACATAGATAACTACGTAATCATCCGGGTTATTACAATGACAATGACTTCATATCCCGGATAAGGAAAAACCTTTGCCGCATGAAAGGCGTGCGTGTTCAGTCATGTTATAGATAAGACTCAACACAGATTGATATTAATTGCGTCGCCTGCCCTATATTCATTCGCTTCTGCGGGGCAAAACTGAAGAAGAAAACTCGAATATTTCCTGAAAATGTTTCGCACGAGTGTTGTCGTGTTTATGTTCATTTTAATCCTCGTAGTTCCAACAAAAGAAGAAAAGGTAATTAGYAGGTCTAATTATAAAGAAATCTCACCATGGTCGGGGAGTACGACTGATCAAAGTCTAGATTTTTCTATCTAGACCAAGCAAGCTCGGTTATTAAGAGTTTTATTATATGACCGTTTTAATTGTTGTCTAAAAACTAATGAAAATATAGCACTCAACATAAAAAAGTTCTYAAACAGTTAAAATATTCTACGCTTCCTCTGGAAAAGGCGCTCCGTTACATTATTACCATTAGATCAAGTGATTGTTTTGACACCATTTGTTTGGGACGGCAAAGTCTAGCAAAATAACAAGACAGTGAGAAATGGAATTAATTTCAAATGTTGGATACTATGAGAAGGGGTTAACTGGCCAGTTTTGAAGGACTTAAGCGATCAAGGGAGCCAGTTAACTCAATTTTAGTTCTCCATACCTTTTTTCATAATTTCCGGGGTCATCGGCGCGTGACGAGCTTGAAAAATACAAACTAACTGAAACTAATGTATGGAGAATKTAACATGAGTTTAATCGCTCACTAGATTAACTAAAGTCCTTCAAAACTGGCCAGTTAACTCTAACGTTTGAAATTAATGATTCTTTTRAAATAGGATCTAACTGGAATTATTTGACATCGATTTCACACTTTCCTTGTTATTTTTGAGACTTTACCTAACCAAACAATGGYGGTATTAAATATTTTGTAAAAAAAGCTTTCGAGCAATCAGAGGAAGTATCTCAATGTTTTCATGACAACCGTTAATTACAAGTGTTTTTAGTATTGTTGAATTCGCAAGTGAGTCAACCACTTGCTGTATACATAATATATAGAGAGATAATGTYGCGAGCCACTTGCTGTGTAATATGCGGTATAAAAGTCGTGCGGGCTAATAGAACGATTTCACATAACGATACAAAAAAT